CTCAGGGAGCTTAGCTTTTCGCAGTCGTCGAAGCTGCTGTTGTCTGTGACATTCATTTCCTCGCCTTCACTTTCTTTTACAAATTATGTTTTACGTTGCCCTACCCTTCTCCCCCTTCCCCTTCCCCCCGGACTCTTCGTAAGTATCGTAGTATTACAGTACAACCCTGCCGCTCGGGGAACAGCCGACTGGTGCTACGCATTGCTATTTCCCAATAGAATGAAGTAGAAATAAATGTTGCTGAAGCGCCGGATCCTTTTTTTCCTGTGACGCTTTGATCAACCGTTGTTTTATCGTTGCGCTTCTCCTGCACATCGATGCTGTAGCTGATGAGATCGCAGCCGTCATGCGGAAGAGGTCCAGTTGTGGCACTTAGCAGGACCTAAATATGCCGTTGCTGGTCAAGTACTACCCTTGCTGGTCTTTACTCTTCACTGAATCGGCCGTTGTTCCTGTCCTTCAGCTTATTAGACTTTTCCTTTTGCCTGTAGGGCCTTTAGGGCCCGTACTGCCTTCTCTATTCCTGTTTAGCTGTTTAATTTCAGCTTCATGCCCTATTCTTTAATCCTACTAAAACTTACCTTAAAAACATCACACTTCTTTCCTATTTTGGACTCTCCCGCATCCACACTACGCAATCACTAGGACTCAGCTGCGATGCGCATGGCCGCGCACAGATTTCGGGTTTTTTGCCCAGGTGAGGTCCTGGGCATCGCGTTCAAGCATGCCCGCTCTCTCGCAACGTCAGGTTTCTCGCTGAGCATAAAAAGCCCGTATGGCCCCTCTCCCCCTTCGTAAATTTCTCCCTCGATTAGCTTTTCATCCAGTCAGTAACTTTCGCTCTTCTGCTACAGCTGTCCGAAACTTAAGTCCTCGCACCTCTACAGCTTTTCCTCCATCTCTTCGGCAATCACTGCAATTCGTTTCGGTAATTGTCTCGCATTCTTCCTCTTGTTTTTCGTGCCATATTGTTGCGGCGTTGCATTTTTGGGTCCTTTCGTCGTTCTTGTCACTTCTTGCCTCCGACTTGCTTGCACTGCTTTGGCAGCGAAAGCGCAGTGTCTCATCTCAGACACTTAACACGCTGTGATGCTCCGGCTTATTTCCGATTTTCATCTGTTCATGCTGCTCTATCTTTCATTTCCAAACAGCTGTTAAAGCAGTGAGAAACGAGGGCCTTTGCTTAGCTTCGTGTGTAGCTCATTGCCCTCCTGTACTGCTTCGTGCGGCTTCAGCTGAATGATTCGGAAGACAGTACTCGATTTTATTCGCTTCGTTTTACTGCTTGAGTGCGAGGTCCAGTTTTTTTAACATTTTTCCAGTTGTTTTCGGCAAATCCTGCAACACTGTGTGATTTTGTGTGGTAAGCACAGAGTCGTTTGCAAGCATGAGAAGCTGAAGAAAATTAAAAATAAATGGCAACGCGCACCAGACTAGCCGGTGCGATCATGCGTTTTGTGCAATTCAGCCCATCGACGCCTGTTAATGATTTTCACTTGTACTTTGCAAAAAAAGTTCAAACATTGAAAAACAGTTATGCAAAAATAGTTCAAACATTGAA